CTCCCAGTTACCTAACTAGTAGGCTACTGGGCTATGTAACGATAGGGTACATATAGAACCCAGTTCCAATTATATGGGTAACTGGGAGCCCTGGGGTCCCCTGTTGATACTCAAAACTCGTATGACTTTCGTGACTCGAGTACCATGGTTTCCAATGTATAACGTATTTAAGGTCATGCGGAATCTTTGGTACCTGAACCCCAAAGTACGTAGAATAATGGCCCTTTGTGCTATTATTCATAGATTTTGGGCTATTATTCTACCTACTTTCCGGTTCAGGTACCCACTTTAGCCCCAGTGACTGTGTACCGTTTCCTGGTGCGATTGCTACTAGAACCCCGTGCGAGTAGCGCTTTGAATCGGAGGTCCCCAACATACAGCAGGGGGGTATCCTCCCTTTGGAAGGGAGACTAAACCGAAAATTTACCCTAAACCCTAAACCCTACACCTTTAACCCACTCATAGAATGTCACCTGATTGCTTGACCCATAGTACAGGCTTGGAAAGAATGGCACGGGCTTTGGGACGTGCTGACGGCTTCATGATCTGCGTTGAAGATGCAACTACCCCGAAGCTTGTGGGAACGGTCCCGCTAGCCCTGCACAAGGCTCCTGGCAGGGGAGACTTCACTATACCAGAAGACAAGGAGTGGATTGCCCTTGTGCTGGTTCGAATGATACAAAGAAAGTTGAAGTATTTCCTGGAGTGTAAGGACCTTCACAACTACAGATTTTTGCTGAACGTTCAACATCATTACCTTGATGGTCTTAGCCTGCAATGCATAGAGGGATTGCTTCCCGCTGCTCGGGCCCAGATTGATCCTCTCACAAATCCTATTGAGTTTACCACCGCCAAGTTCTTGCATGAGACTGCCTTCACGCATGTTTCACAGGTGGATGCGGCAGGGTGGTCACCGTTGTGCTATGCAGTAGTCAGGGGTGATGTTGAAGTAGTGCAGGCACTTTTGAGCAGCAGGGCTCACTGCCAAGATGTGGTGAAGAAAGCGTCTGTGGACAAGTTTATTGCCCCGAAGCTTCCAGTGTTGTCTTTGGCTGCCGCATACCACAGCAACGACGTCATGAAGCTGCTCTTGTCATACCGTGCAAACATCAATGCCCGTGACGGCTTTCGTGCTTGCGCTCTAAGCCCTGCTGGTCTGTCTGACAATGCAGCTGGTGCCCGCATCCTCCTTGAGGCCAAAATAGACCTTAACATCCATCCACTGCCTGGAATACATCCATTTGCAGCAGCGGCGGCATGCAACTCTCTAGCATACATGCAGGAAATTCAGACGCATGCACAGCTGGACCTCAGCAGCTGTGGCAACAGCTGGAGTTTGAAATTCTGCCTGCCATTTGCGCTGATAGCTGGGTGGCCGGATGACAAGGTCATCTCATATCTGATCGTGGCGAGAGCGGATGTCAACCAGCAGCTCAGTTTGACAATGAAGGAACCACTTTGGTGGCTATTCTTCAATGGGCACCGCGCGCGACACTTCGTTAGCCCCTCCCTTCTGACTCGCCTTTGTTATCATCACAAGTCCGCCACCCCGTTGATGCTTAGCATTCTGGCCGGCAGGCCTGAAGTTGTATCTGTCCTGCTGCAGGCAGGTGCGCGATTGGATCTCAAGAATTCAAGAGGCAGAACGGTCGCTGATTTTCTTGATGACATAAGTGTTCCCGAGTGCCTTGCATCAGTGCTTGTCAGCTGCGCACAGGACTGTGCAGACAGTGACTCGAACGATTGCTTTTCCGTCTGATTTTCAACCTGAGCAATGTAGGGCCCTTAGTACTTCAGTATAATCCTTAAGTCTCTACATGGATCCTTCTTGAATTTCCATTCTCTTTGTCCTTTGAAGGATTTTCTGGGGTAATATCCCTAAACCGTAAACCCCGTATAACCCTAAATATGTCTCTATAACTCCTAGACCCCATAAGCCCTAAACCCTAAAACCCTAAACCCTAAGAACCCTCTCTATAACTCCTAGGCCCCTACACTGCTTACGTGAAGTATGATCCACCCCCAAACCTTGGCCCAGCGATTCAGAAAGGGTTTGGGGTTTAGGAGTTAGGGTGTAGGGGTTGGGGTTTAGGGTTCTTAGGGGTGTATAGTCATTCTATGCCAGAGGGGCGAGAAGGGGCGTTGCCCATGTCCCGCTGCAAATGTGGGAGTTTTGAAAGTTATGTTTCCTCGTTTGGGCCGTCTCCAACAACAATCCCATAGTTTTTTGAAGGATAACACCTAGACCCTGAACCCCATACCTTACTTTACGGTCCTGCAGTCCGGGCCCACCCCCAGGCTAAATGAGGGGGCCCGGCTGGAGACATGCTGAGCAGTCGCGGAAGCAAAAGGTTGACTACCTGAGAGCTTCCTGTTGATGCTAAAAATCCTGCGGGTGACCTTAGTACATCATAAAACCGTAATCCTATGGCTTGAACCACTTAGGGTCATGCAGGATTTTTAGAATCCACCGTTCCCATATCCCCAGGCCTTCAAGAAGGGGGTTTAGCAGCGGAAGCAAAAGGTTGATTACCTGAGAGCTTCCCATATTGCTGAAAAATCATGAGGAGATGTCTTCTACTTCCCACCTTTGACTTTGTGATAGCCGCCGTGCCATGTGACCTAAACCCTAAACCCTAACTTGAATAATTGGGCAAATGGAGAAGCAAATGGCTGATGGCTGATGAATTGACAGCTTCCCATAGCGCCGGGGGAATTATTGAAGAGATGTTCTCAAGCTTCCCATTTTCGACTTCCTGGTAGGCGCCCCCCCCGGCCCCATACCCCTGTATGTCTTGAGGGTCCCTGAAAGGGTCCTCCATTCTGACAAGCTCCCATGTGGCATCCTCCGCGGCAAAAAAGGTGAGTGGGAGGCTGTTCCTGTCCATGTGTGGGTTTTGAAGGGAGTAGAATGGGAACTTCGAACGGGGAACCCCAGGAAAATAGTAGGAGTACAAAAGGGATACACCTCCCAGGGTTCTTATGTTCCTATTATATTCCTGCCCATTAAAGTCCCTTTAGATTTGGGCGGTGTCACTTGAGTTGCACCTTTTGAAGAGGATAGTAGAATCCCCAACATAACAGTGAATAAGATCCTATCGTTTTCTTTACGAGTATGAGAATAACGTGATTTTTCTTTGTTCATCCACCCAAGAAAAGCTGCGCTCATGTGGCGTGCTATGGATGCTTTGTGTGAGCCCGCTGGCTACTCACAAAGGATCAGTGCAACAGTGTAGGAGCCTGAATAATCATCAACAGTGTCCCCATGCAGTCCATAGGTCATTACAGTCTGCAATAATTCCATGCCAAAGCCCTCTATTAAAAGATTCGTAAATGTTTAACCGCTTAACCTTGCGCCCCATCATTTGAGCTATAGTCTAAACTCCTTAAAGGGGTTCGTATACTCCTGTGTACCTAGCTTGGACCTTAGACCCTTAACACTTTGGGATTCCCTTATACTCCTTTTATAGGTACCTAAGGGTTTACCCTTCGTAGGGGTCATAAGTGCCACGTAGTATAGGGGATTGCATAGGGGACTACTATAGGCGAGTAGTATTTCATTTGGGGATATTGTGGTACCCAATATAGAGTAAGATTATGTCCTCCTTTTGGGTATAGTACTTTATACAAGGAATATTTCCCTAAACCCAAAACTCTAAACCCTAAACCCAAAACTATAGAGGTTCTCAAGGGTGATATGAGGAAAGTGCGCTTCCAGGCCTGCGGGCGGCTGTTGCCATTCAAACCCACAGTGTTTAGGGTTTAGGTTTTAGGGAGTTCATGGGTTTAGGGTTTAGGGCTTAGGGAGTTTATGGTGTACCTGGACGTCCAAATTGGTTGAAAGAATATGGCCCAGAACCTTGCAGATTTGCACAAAAGACCGTTATTTTGCATACTCTGGAAGTCCAGGTAGAGCTTGGGGTTTAGGGTTTAGGGCTACGCCCTAAACCCTAAACCCTAGGGGGGTGCCTCAGAAGGTGAGCAAGCCGCTTTCAACACAACTATAGCGATTCCCTTTGAGGATTCTATGGCAGCTAATATTGGGTTATAACGGGGGTATAGGGTTTAGGGTTCAGGGTTTAGGGATCATGGAAAAGAAGCTGGAAGCTACAGGAAGTATAGAGTTTATATAGGTATTCTGATTCAAACCCTCACGCCTGGGATAGGTCCGCTAAACCTTAAACCCTCGAAATTCCTAAACAACACCTCAAATATTTCTGTTTCGTCTGAAATTAAGCTAATGTCCATAACCTTGCATAGGGTCCAGGTCTTAGAGTTCAGTTTTAGGATTCGGGGTTTAGGGTTTAGGTACAGGGTTTGGGGTTTGCGGTTCAAGCTTAAGGCTTGGGGTTCAAGTTTTATGGCTTGATTAACTCTCCAACAGATACGGCACCACGCAAAACAAGCAGCTACACAGTCTATGGCCACGAGATACGTTAGTCTTGATTTAAGATCCAGTAGGGTTCAGGGCCTAGGGCTTCAGGATTTGGGGAAGTGCTACCTGCACCTCCAAATTTACCACTAACATAGGTATCGGCATCTGTAACCGCTACCACCAGAAAAGCTGAGCGGGTACACCTCAAACACCGCCTCCATCCGCCATGTTTCGGCCCCAATATGCAAGGTCTTTTATGGGGAGTATTTGGGTTGAGTGTTTGATGTCGCCCGTAAATTCCAAGTTGAAAAATCCTTAAAGAATACAGCAACTTAAACTTTCGTATCCATTCCCCCATACACCCCTCCCATATAGCCTCTTTGGGTGGGGGTGTGTTTAGTATGAGTTGGGTCATCCCCTCTTACGGTAGCTGTCCTTCAACAGCTTTGATGAGGGGCCATTATAGCTCCCATTACCGATTATGGTAACGAACCCTAAACCCTAAACCCCGCAACCCTAAACCCCACAACCCTAAACCCCTCAACCCTAAACCCCACAACCCTAAACCCCACAACCCTAGACCCCACAACCCTAAACCCAAAACCTCTAAATCCTAAATCCTAAACCCCTAAACCCCCACATGAGCGACAGTCAAAATTTGAAAAGATTAGATCATGTCTCGGGTGAACATGACTTTAGTGGCTGACGCTGAAAACCCTGTAAAACAATAGGGGAGACAAAACAAAACGATAACAATGATGCAGCGAGCCGTGCTGCTATCCTTGTGAAAAGCGCGAAAATGCTGAAGCAGGATAGGGGAGACAATTCAAGATGATACCCCCAAGCCATTAGCCAGGTATGGAATTTCGACCGTAGCTCATATGGCCTCAACCCTAAACCCTAAACCAGGGATTAATTCCTGGGTTGCCTTGGAGGCCTTAGGATCACTATAGGGTCCCTTCAAGCTCCCCTGTCTTGAGTTTGGTGTTAAGGCTCTGAGGGTTTCATGATTTAGGATTTAGGGTGTAAGGTTTAGGATTTAGGGTTTAGGGCCACAGGAGGGCTATGAGGGGATTGTCAAGGGCGATGTACGTTGGTGTATATTCTGGATTTGTGGTATAACTGACTCATTTTAGGTGCTAGGAATTGCCAAGTCAGGTTTTGGGAGGTACACAGTCATTGTGTGTGTGTGTGTGCACATGTTGGGCTTCCGTTGAGGGTGCTTCATTTAGGTGAGGGTCAGAACTTATCGCCTTCAGTAGTGTGCATTTTGTATTTGTGCTATAGAATTGCCGGACTACAGCGGGGAACAAACATTTGCATTGACAAAGTAGTTTCAGGTCTCTTGAAAAAACAAATTCAGACGTCAACGTTGCTTCTTCTGTTAAAAAGACTGACCAAGGAAGGAGGATTGTTCAGTAGGCTCTGGCAAGTGACTGTCCACTGGGAAAGACTGCAGTAACAATCAGATCTTGACCTTCATTGCCGTTTTGTGAACCAACTAGAGGCTTTCGACAACAAATCAGACATATAGCAACCCTAAACCTTAAACCCTAAACCCTAAACTTTAAACCTTAAACCCTAAACCCTAAACTCTGAATTCAACCTGAGAGTTAACCCTAAGCCCTGGAACATGGAATGCAGAGCGTCCGAGCCCTATCCTCCCCAACACTAACATGGAACCCAAGGCAGGCTCTGGTTCAAAGGGGTTTAGGGTTTAGGGGGTTAGGGTTGGGGGTTTAGGATTTAGGATTTAGGGTTTAGGGTTTAGGGTTTAGGGGTTTAGGGGTTTAGGGGTGTAGGGGCTTAGGGTTATCCTAGATGCTTTTGATGGACAAAGTCCTGCATAAGCCCAAGTAGATCATAATGCCATAAACCCTTAACCCTATGTGTTGGTGTAATGCCGTGTGTCGTTTTTGGGTTCAGGGCCTGAACCCCCGAAGGGTGTGCTTCAACTACAGCCAGCCTCATCACCCTAAACCCTTCGCCCTAAGCACTTCTATTTACATGTTCTCAGTCGGGAAAAAAGGGAATATAATTCTTAGATTGTAGGGTTTTTGGTAGAGTGGGAATGAGGAAATATAGTCCCTATATACTCCCTAAATAATGTACGCCCATATTCCCTACTAAGAGCGAGTAAGTTTAAGTGTCAAGGTCACCGTGATGGCTGCTGACACCGTTCTGGTCATCTCTCTTGCGACTTGTCTGGCGCAATTCGAATCCTCATCATTCCCAACTTCTTATTATGCCACTATGACAGGGTGGGGAGTCCACCCCTAAACCCTAAACCCTTATATACTTCAGCCCTGGCATATCTACATTGGACATGTTTCAGTAGACTGTAAGGACATCAGCCGTTCTTACAAGCAGAAGTTTTGAAGACA